TTTATTTGAAAGAAACTAATTTTAAATAAATAATTAATTAAGATATATTTACGGAGGAATAGTTGTATTGGAAAATTATGACGCTCAATTTATCTTTGATCTTATGCTCGTTGCTCACGAGTTCCTTCTAGAAGAATTGGCAAAATTACTTGAAACCCATTTAGTTAAAGAAGAAAGTCAATGGCTTCGCCTACACTTTGCTCTTGTTTATCGAAAGAGTTTTCATAGTAATAAACTTCAAGAACTGCAAACGTGGTGTAACGACATTCTAGCAAAATGTCCAAGTAAAGTATTTGAATCTGAAGATTTTACTTCACTTCAAGAATATGCTTTAGTCTCTCTTATTAAACGTGATGATTTACAAATGGAAGAAGGAAAAATTTGGAATTGTGTTATTAGATGGGGAATCGCTCAGAATTCTGACTTGCCAAATGATCTTAAATTTTGGACATATGACAATTTTTTAACCTTGAGATCTATATTAAGAAATTGTTTACCGCATATTCGTTATTTTCATATATCTGGAGATGACATTGTTGATAATGTACAACCATACAAACAAATTCTTGACGAAAATCTTTGGTGTGATATTACAAAGAAATTTATGGTTCCAAATCGTCCAATAACATCAATAATTCTTCCGCCTCGTAAAATTTTATCTACAATTAGAGAACCTTTTTCGAAAGTTATTAGTGAAGCACAAGCAGCTGAAATCGCTTCATGGATTGATAAAAATATTATTTACTCTGAATCAAATAATCCATACGAATTTAAGCTGATTCTTCGCGGAAGCAGAGATGGGTTTACAGCTGATTCATTTTGGAAGGCATGTGACGGACAAGCAAATACTGTAGTAGTCATGAAAGTTAAAGGTACAGATGAAATTCTTGGTGGATATAATCCTACTACTTGGAATAGACCAAATATCAACGCGTATATATTTAATTATTGTAATGAGAGCTTTATATTTTCATTGAAAAATGGTACTGTTCAAAAGCGATATATTGCCAATATAATTATGGTCCAGGTTTTGGTTGTGGTCGTGATCTTGGTATGAAAAATAATTTTAATCAAGATAACAAATGTTATTGTAATCACCATTCATATGAAATGCCCATTAGAAATGTATATTCTTATGATGAGGGTGACTATTCTTCTTTTTCAGTAGAAGAATATGAAATATTTCAAATCTTGGAAAAAACGCAAAATGGTATTTAGTTAATTATATATTCACTCTATAATTACAATTCTGAACACTGAACTAATTAATTAGACATTTGAATATATATATATTGTAATTTTTATTACGTTTATTACTGTATATTATAATAATTTTACATATCATATTTTATTTTACATTTAAACATAAACCTTTTTTCATAAATGCATTAGAAAGAAAAAACTAATGTTTTTTCTAAATTATTTTAACATTCTATGTGTTCTGATGAAACTTTCTTTACAATTTTCATCTAATACAGCCATGATTATTCTTTAAGACATTTACTTTATATTTAATTTCTTTAATAAAGATAGAAATAATTTGCTTTGATAATTAATTTTCTTCGTGGGATATAAAATCATATTGATTATAGCAATCACAAATTGTGGGCGATGTGAAATGGAGGATCGATTTCGGACAATAATGCAGTCTCAGATGTACGTATTCTGGTAATTCCTAAAATTCGAAAAATCGCGAAAATAAATAGAATAACTAGAATAATTAGAATAGAAAAAACATCTAAAATTCCTGTAATTCCGTTATATGCATTCAGTTGGTATATAGAGTGTGTGTTTTCTCTCAAATAAAGAAAATTAGAGTTCAGCATTATAAAGTATTTCACTCTAATAATCTCGATCATACAGAAATAGAAATTAGTGATTTAATCCCGTGACTCTATATTGTGACTTCATACAGAGCTCTAATTGACTTTAATTGCTCGGACCAAGTCTTTCCACGCCTCGATCAAAGCTTAACTATTATTAGGGTTAGTTGGAGCAATATAGTTATCATCAATGTAATGTAAATAATGTAGTATTTGTGTTTGTATTGAAGATGGGATCGGTCGGTTATGGTCGGTTATCGGCCGTTATTACCGGCTAGCCGCTCATAGCCGGCTATTAGCGGCTAAATAGCCGGCTATAGCTGATCAATTATTTAATTAATTATTTTATCAAATATCTAAAATAATTGACAACCCAATTATATGTTGGTTTAATAATTTCACCACTACTGGTGAAATTAGTGTTGAATTGATGAAATTGTTAAGATTAATTTCATCAGTATCTCTAGTTGCGACCCAAAAATTGAGATTTCTACATTATTTGGGATAATATAAGTCCAAAAGCGATTCAGCGACTAGACGGTATATTGGGTAAAAGTAGCAAGTTAGACCTAATGGTTATATCGGATATGCATTGTTAGCGGGTAAATTGGCAAAAGCACACCACCACAAAACAAGAGAAAAGTGACGAATTGTCGCTTGACTACGCAAGACGTCACGTAACGTTACTCAATAGAGAGGGTGAAGCGGTTACGATTTGGCGAGGTCTAAAGCGTCTATTGAGATAGGTTGCAAGGGATATTCAGGAAAAATTCTTAGAGCGTTGAGTTTAGTGGTCAAGGCTTTTTTTTTGATGATTTTATTTAATTTTTGAAAATGCACAGGGCATTATTATTCAAGTGGGAAATTCCACCTCATTAATAACGAATTACAGTGAAGAAAAAGGAATCATTTCGAACTTTCTTTTATGTCTTTTACACATGTATCTTCATTGATTTTGAAGCCTTATACTCTATTTGGCTAACTCTTTTACCATTCTTCATTCATAGCTTTCGCTTCTGCAGCAAAAACATAAAAACGTCCACGCCATTTTCCTCATTGTCAAAATTCCAACCTCATTACCACAATCGTGCATCATTTACCACGGTCACACATTTATCCAAAGAGAGTAACATTGTACCATTGTTCAATTTCGCTATCATTATAACAATCTGATTAACCGGAATTACCCATTTCCTTTTTTAGACCCGACGGTAGATCGTGAGTTGAGGCTTGGCTTGCGATCGTTGCTTCAATGGGATTCTTGCACTTCCATTCACGGGCTATCGGTGTTCGTGCTACGATCTAATTTCAGGTCTCGTGGAGTCGTCATTCCATAAAAATTCGGGTATCAGGTGGATACGATTTCGCCAGTAACAGCATATAAAAAGTGAAAAGTAATTACAGTGCACGATGCTTAAATATTACAGTGTTTTATTGTCATATTTGTTAATAATTGCTACATAGTAAAGTCGAAATTTTATTGTGCAAATTGTTATTTATGCATTAAGTTGTTAAGCTGATCAAAATATGTATATTGTGTAAGTTTTAACTTAAGTCGAATTACTTTGTATTAATGCATATTTGCGTATCACGATTAGGAAAGATTTTAATATTTGCTTCGTATAATCGTAATATGCACAAATATATTACTAAAAAGTTATTTAATTTATATAAATCTTTTAGAATATAGGATTATACTAAGGAAAAAGAGTCAGGTGCGAAAGAATCTACTCTTTCAGTGCCTTAACAAGTGCTTCATCCTTTTATTACAATGCGCATGTCCTGGTGAAATGATTGTATTAGTGCAACTTAGGCTGTTATTCGGTCCGTCCAGTTCGTCTTAGTCCAAATACCGTGCAGTCTTTTAAAAAGTTAGACCAGACTGCGGTCAGGACTGATTAGGACGATGAGTTTTTGACCGTGAAGACCGATTATTAGGCTGATTAAATACTATATAAATTGTATCAATATATTAATTAATTCATATTATTACCCACTAGTGATGGACAAATTAGTCTTTTTTCAAATTTCATACACTTAATGCGCATCATATGCATCATGCACATGGAATTCGCTGCTAATGTGGAAATTGAGATTCCGAAATATTCCGGAAACACCGAAATATTCCTACGCGTATGGGCAAATTATTACATTTGACACATGATCTAATTTATCCAATTAAATCACGAATAAACAGCCAATCACTGCATGACATTAGGGTGCGGAACGGGCCGGGCTAAGCCCGGAAATTTGCGGACCGGGCCGGGCTCGGGCCTAGTTCGGGCTTACATTTTTTGAGCCCGTTTATTATTCGGGCCGGGCTCAAGCTGGGCTTGAAAAATACGGGGTCGAGCTCGGGCTTGTTGAGAAAGCCCGGGTATGCACGATAAACTATATACATATGCCTAACAACCCTAACGTCACTCAAAAAAGATGGTACGTAGCAGTCAGAGGTACCGAAAATTGAATTACAATTAAATTATTACACAATTATATTCAATTAAATTGTTACAGATAAACAATTGCAAAACAATTAATTGTGAAATAATTGCAATTAATTGCAATTTTTACATAATAATCATAAGTTTA